CAAGGGAAGGGCTGCAGGGAGTGGGGCTCTCAGGGGGGTGTGTGGTCAAGGGCAACGACTCTTCTTTGCCCGTGACACCTGTCCTTGGGGCTGTGTGTTGTAGGCTCATCCCTCTGCCACCAAGATGTCTTGCTACGACCTGTGCCCACCGAAAACCAGCGTGGCCGTGCCCCAGCCCATCGCCGAGAGCTGCAACGAGCTGTGCGACCGCCAGTGCCCCGACTCATCGGCCCTGATCCAGCCACCCCACGTGGTCGTCGGCCCCATCCTCAGCTCCTTCCCCCAGCAAGCCGTGGTGGGCTCCTCCGGAGCCCCCGCCTTTGGGGGCTCCCTGGGGCTGGGGGGCCTCTACGGCGCCGGGGCCACGCAGGGCTCGGGGGGCCTCTGCACCTTTGGCAGACCCTACGCTTCTCCTGCCTGCAGCCCTTGCGCCTGGCCCCGCTACAGCAAGAAGCTCTGGGACACCTGTGGGCCCTGCTAGACACAGACCCACAGACCCATGAGCTGCCTCCAGTCCAAACACCGTTGCCACCATGCCCCACACAGGGCTGAGCTGTTTGGCACGAGGCCCTGAGGAGTGCTGAGCAGCGCCCATCTGAATTCAATTCCTTCTGGACAAGAAGCCTCTGTTGACTCAATAAAAGTTTCCTGCATCAAAATCCTGAATATTTTCCTCCCTGTTTGATGTTTGGCGGTTGGGGGAGAACAAATGTTAATCCTCAGATCGGCAGATTCTGCTCCATTGCTTCTGCTCTCTGGTAATCTGTGTTTCTGGGGGATTCAATCAAGAGCATTCTCTCTCACCAGCATCTTTTTGCACCTACCCATAGAACTTTCCCTTTTCTGTCAGTTCTTTGTGGTTTTAGCCTGTGTTACATCAGGTCTTTTCTCTGTAGTCAGCAAGCACACGGCTCTGCACTGTGCTACCCAAGATCATACTGTCAGTGTTACTCCTACCAGTTAGGCCACGTTGCTGTTCCAATCTTAAATCTGTTTCCCTCCTGTTCATTGCCACTCAGCCTGATGTTATCAGCACAAAAAACAGAGTGGTCCTAAATTATGCACCAATGTCATCAACACAAACAAATAATCAGAGGGTTTTTGAGACTGATCCTTGAGTAACTAATGTAGTAACTAATGTAGTAAAATCCCTCCATTCCTACAATTCCTGTATTACATTAGACACTGACAGAAAGGGTGTCTCTGTACTATTTCGTAATCAGACATGAGCTCACTCTGAACAGGCATCCAGCCCAAACAGAAGCTACGTCATCATGTTAGCTTATGTCCTAATAGCTCTTACCAATCTTGTTATCTTGGGCTAGGCACTCTGACACAATACACATCGAGCTGGGTGCTGGCTGGTGCCCGCCTGATGAGGATCAGTGCAGTGTCGGTTGTCGGAGCTCAGGTGTTAACTGTGCTCATGTAAGGTTTACTCTGAGGTTCCTCTTAGTGGCTGTTAATGAGAGCAAGGATCCTGGAGTGAAGGGGAGGAAACCAGATGCTCGTGTTTTGTAAAGCTGTCTCAGGAACTCCCCTGGGCTCAACCAGCCAGGAGGAAAGAGGTTTTGCTCAACACAAGAGAGCACCTGAGGCGAGGAGATACAGGGCTGGTGCAGCATAAGCTGGGAGGCTGGTTGCTGAGCTCCTGGGAATTCATGATAGCAGTGTCCTTGCCTCAGGCAGTGTGAGGATGGAAAGCAGCAGCAGGGGCAAAGAGCTGTTTTATTGTGCCCAAAAGACAAGAGCCTTTCTTCTCCACCTCAGTTATCTGGGCTCTCCACACACCCCAGGCACGCACAGGGCAGGGACTGTGCTCTCAGCTTGGCCCTGTGAGCTCCAGTCTCCTAGATCTCCCAGACCTTTCCCAAAAAGTCCAGAGCCTTGAGGGCAGACAGTGCTGGGACAGAGAGGGTAAGGCAGGCAGAGAACCTTTCAGGGAAGGTCTTTTTTTTTTTTTTGTCAAAATCTTGTCAATAAATTAATTAGTGTTATACCTTTAAATTTTATTTTTTTTTTAAATAAAAGCAAGATTCATGTGACTTGAAGAGTTGGGTGGAGTTGGCTCCAAAGTTGCCAAGGGTCCTGGAGCATCTCTGAGAGAAGAACAGGCTGAGAGCCCTGGGGCTGCTGAGCTGGAGAAGCCTCAGAGGGGATCTGATCAGTGCTGAGCAAGAGCTAAAGGGCCCCCGGGGGGCAAGAGGCTGGGGCCAGACTCTGGTCAGTGGTGCCCAGTGACAGGACAAAGGGCAACGGGCACCAACGGGAACCCAGGAGATTCCATGAGGAGAAACTTCTTTGGTGTGAGGGTGGCAGAGCCTGGAGCAGCTGCCCAGAGAGGCTGTGGAGTATCCTGCCCTGGAGAGTCTCAAACCTGCCTGGATGTGACCCTGGGCACCCTGCTGTGGGTGAGCTGCTGGAGCAGGGGCGGTGGGATGAGATGATCCCCAGAGATCCCTTCTGACCCCTACTGTCCTCTGATTCTGTGATATTCGTTTTACTTTACCCAGCTGACTTAAAGACTCAGCCAAAACTTCCCTGAGGCAATAGTTCTCACAGCAGTGATTAACCAAAAAGAAGAGGAAGTGCTTGATCTTTGCTCATCAGATAACTATCTTTAAAATTGTTTCCCATTGTTTTCCTTTCTCCTGCTGTTCCTTTTCAGAATATACTTTGACAGAACTTCAGGCCACGTTTTTTTTTCCTTTGTCTTTGTACACAGATTGGGATTTGTAGTAGATCTGGAAAGATGTATAGACAAAAGGAATTCTGGCATTGGACTTAATACTGGAAGTGTGGCAACTAGAATAATTAGAGAATTTCAGCTCAATAGCAATCAAAGACTGGGCAGATAGGTTTCTTAGCAGCAGGACAGTGTGTGGCCAGGTCTGCAGGTTCTGCCTGGCTCTGATGGGGATGGGACAGTGCCCTGGCCTGGCTGTTGGGGACCACTGGCCTGGAAAGGACAAACGGAGAGGCTGGGGTTGAATGCAGGCTGCTTTTATTGCAAAGGCAGGAAAACACCCACTGGAGACAGACACACAAGACAGACGCAGGCACGTTGTCCAGGTGGGCTTCAGGAGAGATGTTCAGGTTTCTCACAGGTGGTGGCAGTTTCAGGAAGAAGCAAGTGTCCTCTAGGACAATGGGCCACGTTTGGCCACCGGTAAGAGGCAAGGAAGAGAGGAAGCGGATGAAGAAGGAAATGAGAAGTGTAATTTATGGAGCTGTTCTGACTCCACTGTATGAAGTGGTGCTGTACCCCTTACTCAGGAGCTCAGTTGAGGATAAGATTGTTCCACACGTTTGCCGGTCATTCTTTAGTCAGGGGACATTTCTGGAGGATTCA